TTCAGACCTAGGCTTACGTCCACGTTCAGACATAATTCAATATGCAAAAAAGAAGCACCATCAATACAACAAAACAACAAGGAGAACCAGCACGAAAAAAAACCTTCAAAAACAAGAAAACAACTGGAAATAATAGACCATTTTCACATTAAGAACAATATCCATATGCGGCAATTGAATGGTTGCAAGAGTGCAAATGTTCTGATGCCGAGGGGTAAGGAAAAGAAAAACTATAGCCAACTAAACAGCAACAGAGCTAGTGAATTTACTCCTTTACTACCAAAATGCTCAAATCTAAAAAGTAGAGAGCAGAAAATCAAACAAAAGCAGTATACAAATTAAATAACAAACAAAAACAGATAATGACCAAAAACAACAAACCATACTCACATTTTTTTAAGAATCCAAGCAATAAACCCTAGCAGGTGACGGCCGCAAATTGAAAACCCTATAAGAACGATGATACTACTATCTCCTTCCACGATTCCAACAAAGGTACACATATTTCTTACACCACTAAGAATTTATGATGGAGAAAAGGGATGAGAATCAAGAATGGAAGATGAGAAATGAGGATTCAATTTGGCTAGTTAGAGATAAAAATCGTATTCGCTAATTTTCTAAGCTAGAACAGAGTTAGAGTATTTATATGCTGGTACAATCAGATAACAGTTAATAATTTATAAAATGAATCATTAAGTCTGACTCTAGAACACTCCAAAGCACACTTTCTCTCAGGCTAGAGTATTTATATGCTGATACAATTAGCCAACAGTTAATAATTTATAAAATGAATCATTAAGTCCGACTCTAGAACACTCCAAAGTAGTGATACTTTCCCTCAGGTATCGGGCCTGATTCAGAACTGATTCAAAGGCCCACAAAGGAGCATAAAGGGCTGAGGTGACTAACAATTGAAGTTATATTATGAGAAGGAGAAAATATATTATTTTTTTGTCAAAAACCAATCTTTAATTAGTGATAGATAAATAAAATCACAAATATTATGAAATTAGAAATTATATGAATGTTAGAATAACTGCACAACCAAATACGAGATTTTTTATTGGGCTTTTTTTATATTAGTTCTAAAGAGAGAGCTCTTATAACGAGTTAGGAATTCAAATACTCCATTTCATATATAAAGTCCAGATCTTTCATTATACACAGTCTTTTATTCAAGAATTCAATTTTTGCTTCCAAAAAAAAAATGAAAGTCTTTACCCGAGAATATTGCATGGGTTAATAAAAAGTCTTTTATCAAAGATTATTTGATTTCTTTAACTTACCCTGGTTGAATTAAATTTTTTGGGTCTAAATTTAACTAAATGAAATACTTAAAAATCCATAACATCATTCTCATTACATAAATAGAATTCAACGAAAATAAAATACTAAATAGGGAGGTCTATGACGGCGCATTGCAGAATCAAGCAACTCTCCGATTGACAGCAAGTGCCTTGAATTTCGGGACAATCTTTTGGATCCCCTCCCATCATGTCATAACACGTCCTTATCTTCATCTCACATCTTGAACTTGTCTGATAATGAAAGTAACTGAATTCGACTACTTTTCCGACTGTTCTCCACATAGTTGAATTTAGTGTATTGAATCTAAAGGAGCTCCCTGGAAGTATGCTACCACTAATAAGAATTGTGCTGAGATCGAATCTTCTGTTCAATGTCTTAGCAAGATTGAAAAACTTATTTTGATCGAACATGTTGGTAGAACAATTCCTGTGAGCTCTCCGTTCATACTTCCAAAACACTTGTAAAGTCTTGGTATCCACTGCGGTAAAACGCAAGTCTGGCCATATAAGATCAAACTGATCGGCCGTACTTGGATCCATTGGATTGTAAGGTTCATTCTTGTTGCACGTGTCAGTGATATAGTGTAGTTATTTGACCATAATCCATGAATAGTCCATTCATTGGGCAACGGATACCTCGCACAAGATGTTTGCGTCTGTTGGAGATGATAATTGCAAAAAGTTTTCAGCCATTGACGTACCATTTTTACGAATTGATGCCCCGGAGGCCGTCGCCTTAGCCCATTCTCAGAGTCGGTTAGAAGAGTAACCTCTGTTGAGCAGACCGAGAAGGAGGAAAAAGGTTTACCATAGTTGAATTAATATGTATGGTACCTAATTTGTGTTTTGTTTTTAATGAAATAAAAAACATGATTTAGCCAAGAATCCCGAGTGTGGGAGCTTTCTTTTTTGAAGAATTTTTTGAATGAAAATGTGAAAATATATATTAAAAAAGAACAACAACGAATTGGGTATAAATATGGAAAAACCTGCAATGTTAATATTTTGCCTCTGATTTTATATTCATTTTGCTAAAAGTTAATTATATATGGAAAATTACCAACTGAATTACCAATTTTGGACTACTTAAATCCTAGTGTCCCATTTCTCATTTGATTTCATTAGCTAGAAATATTTTCGTTTGTCTTTCAGTGGCCATCAAACCGATTATTGGTTCAGTAAGTCTCATACTTCGAAATCCCAACCTCAGAGCATAATTATTAAGCTCTCTTGTGATAAAGGCTCTCTGAGCTTCATAGTCAACAACTGTGTTGATTTCTTCAACATTTTCACTATCAATTAATCCTTGAAGGTTTTCATAATCAATTTATCCTTGAAGGAATAAAAGTTTTATAGACTTAAGTCCACGTTTAGACTTAGGCTTACGTCCATGTTCAGACCTAATTCAATATGAAAAGAAGAAGTCCTCTCAATGCAACAAAACAGCTGGGAGAACTAATTAGAAAAAGCCCTTGAAAAAAAAAAGAAAACAATTGGAAATAATAGACCACATGCATATTAAGAATAATAGCCATGTACGGCAAATGAATGGTTACAAGAGTGCAGATATTCTGGTACCAGGGGTAAGGAAAAGGAAAAATATAGCCACCTAAATGGCAACAGAGCTAGTGAATTTACTTCTTTACTACCAAAATACTCAAGTCTAAACAAGAGAGAGCAAAAAATCAAAGAAAAACAATATACAAATTAAATAACAAACAAAAATAGATAACAACTAAGAACAACAAACCATACTCACATTTTTTCATGTATCTAAGCAATAAACCCTAGCAGATGATTCCCCCAAATTGAAAACCCTATAAGAACGATGATACTTCTCTCCTTCCACAATTCCAACAAAAGATACAAATATTTATCACACCACCAAGAATTTATGGTGGAGAAAGGGGATGAGAATCAAGAATCGAAGATGAGAAATGAGGATTTAATTTGGCTAATTAGAGATAAAAACTGTATTTGCTAATTTTTCCAGTCAGAACAGAGCTAGAGTATTTATATGCTGATGCAATCAACCAACAATTAATAACTTATAATATGAATCCTTAAGTCCGATTCTAGAACACTTCAATCCAAAGCAGTGACACTTTCCCTCAGGCATCGAACCTGATTCAAACCTGATTCAGAAGCCCACAAAAGAACATAAAGGGCCGAAATGACTAATAATTGGAGTTACATTATGAGAATGAGGTAATATTCTTTTTGTTAAAAACCCAATATTTAATTAGTGATAGATAAATAAAAGTACAAATGTTATAAGATTAGAAATTATATGAATGTCAGAATAATTGCACAACCAAATTAGAGTTTTTTTTTTATGCATGTCAGGATAATTGCACAGCCAATGTGGAAAAAAAAATTTTCTTTTTTGGGCTCTTTTTCACATTAGTTCTAAAGAGAGATCTCTTTTAACAAATTTGAAATTCTAATACACCATTTCATATATAAGGCCCAATTCTTTTATTATACTCAGTCTTTTATTCAAGAATTCGATTGTTGATTCCCAAGAAAAAATGAAAGTTTTTGCCCGGACATATTGCATGGGTTGATAAATAGTCTTTTATTAAAGTCCATTTTGATTTCTTTCATTTACCCTGGTTCAATTGATGTATATGGATTTGTGTTTGGTTTCTAATGAACACGAAAGTATGATTTAGCAAAAAATTCCGAGTGTGGAAGTTTTTTTTTTTTTTTTGAAGAATAATTTTTTTAATGAAATGTGAAAATATATATTGAAAAAAAACAACAACGGATTTGGTATGAATATGGAAAAACCTGCAATGTTTAATATTTTGCCTCTAATTTGATATTTATTTTTAGAATTTAATCATATATGAGAAACCACCAACTGAATTAAAAACTTTGGACTACTTGAATCGTAGTATCCCTTTTGTTATTTGATTTCATTGGCTAGAAATATCATTGTCTTTCTTTCAGTTGTCCAGTGATTATTGCCAAGTTGATTTGATTAGTGAATGTGTCTGATTATAGTTTTTGTTTGTAGTACTCCGTTAGCCGGTGGTTCGACATTTTCAGCTTGACCATGCTAAAATTTATCTCGTGAACCAAGTTACCAACTTGCAGTTGAATATGGATACAATGAAAGTGAATTGAGCAACACAAACGAACAAAAAAACAATCTTAAGCGCCTTCGATTTCACATACTTTGAGTTTTGAAATCTTATTGCTTTATGCACACATATGGGGAAGTTCATGGAAGCTTTCCGGCCATCAGAAATACTCTGTTTGCACTCTGTTGTTTGGTATTCGAGATTTTATAAATGTAAGTTAGAAGCCAGGTAGAACCCCTTTTGCATTTGCCCAACTTACTTTCCAGAGCAGCATTGCGATATCGAAGAATATAATGGTTGTTTGTTGACCCTGTGTTTTGATTTGGTGGTTTTGGACTAATTTGTCTTTACCAGAGATGTAAGTGAAACTCATGTGTACCCTTTTTTTTGATATTGACCAAACGTACAATAAACTTAGACTACATTTGTCCTGCGTGTTCTGCGTGATTACTCTCTGGCAAGTTGAATCTCTGGGAGTAACTTGATTCCAGAAGAGAATCACCAAGGTTGTATTTTTAGTGGTTTGCTATGTGGAAAATTTAGAAACGGAGAAATCATTTTGTTTTATAACCCGGCTCCTCTTGAGAAGAAACTAAGGGGGAAATTAGGCGTAAAAGTGCGGACAAATGAAGCCAACTTTGACCCGAAATGAAAAAAGAAATGGTACATAATTGCAGATTTCATCTATGATTAGGGTTTTTTTTTTTCTTTGGGTTCATCTATGATTAGTTTAGTTTAAGGACAACCTACTACGGAACATTGAGAACAAAATAAGGCTTTCAGTTAAGCGCCAACAGTAGAGTCAAAAAGCATGTTAGAGGCAGTAACAATTTATGTGATCAAGTCACACAACTCTGGAAAATTCAGGAAGCTGATGGAGGATCAAGAATCTCCAACCTATCCTGCATGAAGGGAAAACAGGAAGTTTAAATCAATTATTATATTTATGGAATTATGAAAAGAAAAAAAAAATTAATCAATAAATTTATAGAAAAATTATTATGAAGGCTAAAGAGAACACATTTCATTGTTCTAGCTTCAAAAGCACAAGCAATTGACTAGAAACATGTACATGTTAATATGTGTGAATCAAGGGGAAAAATAAAGTCTTAAGTTGCATTGCACAAGACAGGCTGATAATAGTGAAACCTGAGCTAGTGGGCTGCCAGCAGCATAAGAATGGCTCTATGCACAGAAAAACTCCTCCCAATCCCATCACGACACTCTTTTTGGGGACAAAGGGAATATATACTACTAGAACTATTTTTAATTTTGATTCATATCGAAAATAAAATTTATTATGTTGGTCAGGAGAGGAAATACCTGGCATTATGCCCCCAAAAAAGAAAATGATATCTCTAATACAAATTGCATAAGTCCATCATCATATAAGCCCAAGAGGAAAGAGTCAACGCAAGCATGCATCGGATCCAGCTAAATTAGGCACAGATTTTGACCACGTAAAGCAGTTCTCAAATTCATTCTCATGAGGAGAACAGAATCATTGGAGGCCTTTACCCGTTGAGAGCTAGTTTTCAGCAATATCCTGGTTCTTCTGAGCATCTTTTAAGAGACCATTTGTACGGCACTCATCAGAAGCCTTAAGGACATGTTTTATAATTTTTATCAAGGAGCACAGTCCTCCCAAGAAGTTGTGGTCAAGAACACCCTTCCCTTCCACAACATGAGCAAAATCAATAAGCTTAATCTCTGCTCTAGGATCCTTCCCTTCTAAGGCAAGCTGCTTTTCATACATTATGTGAATCGAACAGGAATAGAAATGGTAAGTGGTTTGGTCCTCAAACCACTCTTTCAGCTCGAGAAGTTGCGACAAAATCCCCGTGGAACCACCAAGAACCACGGATGCAAAAGCGCAGTCGGGCTTTGATTCCAACCCAGTCGAAGTGTTAGATGACACAAAGTTTCTCAGGACAAGTTTAACTTCCTCAGCAGAAAGGCCTTGAACTGCCTTCCTTTGGGGTTTCCAGAATCCTAATTCATTGTTGCTGTGAAACTGCAAACCTGAAAACCTGAACCCGAGGAAGATGCTTGACGTCGCCCTATCCTTTTTCATACATTTTGCTATATAGTCCTCAGGCGATTCTGGAGGCCAAGTCCTGGAACCAATCTTGATATCCATTATAGAAGGATTAACTCGACCAACTGTAAGATCTTCCAAAACTAGGTGAGGCTTTAACCCAGATCCATCAGATGCCTCAACAAGCTCAGTGCCATGAAATACAGGGAAGAATCCGCGCGCTTGGTCCGGGATTGTCATATCTTGAGAGAATGAAGTGTAAAAGGAAACTTCATGAGAGCCGCGGTCATCCCCTTGTAAAGGCTTGTAAAAGCGTCCAGAGTCATCCACAAGAGGCCCAAGCTTCCCATTACCAGCTTGGTGGCCAGCAACCTGATTTTCGGGGATCTTAAGCATGGCTACAGGCATTTTAAGACTCTGCTGAGAGAAGAGGGGCAATTTGTGTGATTGAGGACTTTCCAGTTTTCAATCGAAAACCGCAGATGTCGCCTGTGCCTGTATGATTGAAGAACAACAAAGTCCTATGAAAAAAAAGAGATCAACAATGGAGTAGGATAAATTTAACAGTACAGTACATCAATCAATCTCCAAGGTATAGCACATTCAAGTTACAAAGGCTAATATTTCTACCAGAATAATCTTGGCAAGCAAAAAGAGAATTCCGAGGGAGTTGGATAAATTTAACAATGGAGTTCCATATTAGAGAAGTTTATCCGTTGGCCTACTTCAAATACATTAAATAAGTAACGACTTACCACGGCTCACAACAAATCAACAATCCCTAAAAGCAGACTCGTTTGGGATCATAGTTCATATTCACAAAATTGCGGTTCCAATCAAAGAGTTTAAAGCTTCTAAATTTCAAACTTTTTTCAGAATGTACTCTTTCCTGTGTAAAAGCACAGAAACTTCAAGCATTTTCCAAAATGTTCGATTCTTTGTCAGGTAAAAGTAGCTGATATTTTGGGCATCAGAACCAGAACTACAGAACACACAGCACAATACAACATACAATCCCATTCGATTTTTAGAGCTCACAAAGTTGATAAAAGCAAACTTAAAAACCCAAATACCAGATTTAAAAAAAAACCCACAATTTTTATTTTATTTTTTACACAAAAGTTAAACTAAACTATAGAAAGTTCTTCCCCTTTACACTTTTCTAAGGCTAGCATTGATGACCAAAGAAAAGCTTTAACTAATAAAATAAAAACAGAGAGGAAAGAGAGCATATTATTACTGGAGAAGATCGAAGAACTCACCAAGTAAATCAACTTGCCGGAACTAAGACGAAAAGCCCCGAATCCCTCTGCTACTACTTGGGAGGAGAATTGACGACTTGGGAGGAGAATTGACGAAAGGTCGAGAGTAAATCTGAATCCAATATCGAAATTGGGTCCACAACTGTAATTGGTGTCAATGTATAGATATATAAAATTATATTCTCCCTTTTCCGGATACCAGAAGGAACATGTTCTGCGTCTGTGTGTGTGGATTCGGAGACGTGGCGTTTTCTGCAGTCCCTTTCCACTTGGGATTCGGCCCATTGGTTTACAAAATTCAATGAAGTCAGGTGTCCTTTTTTATTTATTTATTGAAGTCAATGGTTATTTTAACCTTAATCCGAGGTATGACCCTTTTTACATTATTATTATGGCCCGGTCACCGGCGGCGAGTGACGAAAACTCTTCAGTCCAACGTCAAACAATCTGTGCACGGAATACCATTCTTGCTGCCGGCTAAGGACTCTTTATTGGTATACACTTTTTGTAAGTTTTTTCCACCTAACTTGAATTTTATAAACGTAAATTAACTGTAGGTCGAATATAAAACATCCCTAAATTAATATTCTATATTAATTAATAATCTTTATTAAATAATATTTTTCTCGATTATCAATTTGTGACCAGTACAAAAAATTAGTACTATTCCCGTCACTTGTTGCGCGACCGTTTCTTTCATTAAATTGATCAAAATAATTAAATTTAACAATTTGAATCATTTAGTTCATCTTCTCTTCTTTTATTAAATTGATCCGAATAATTAAATTTAACCATCCGCATGACATATTCCATCCTCAGATCTTCGTGATGAAATTCCATAATCATTTCATTCGTTAAATCAAATTATGTACTTGGCTTTGTTAATGTCCGTGCATGGAGACAAATTTACCAGGATAGTCAATGGATTACCATCACTTGTTGTTGTTTCATTTGCTGTTTCACAATTCCATTCTGTATATGAAGGACTCATTAAAAAAAGTATCAATAATTAAATGTCTGTATTACTCCCTCCGTCCCAAAATTAGATGTCATGTTGAGTTGAGCCATTTCGACAATAAGAGTGCCATTTGGGTATCCAAAATCGGGAACACAACCAACCCAAGCCATAGCCTTCAAGACTTTTAAGTGCTTCTTTTAACTGATCAGCTCTGCACGTACGGGGACAAAATGATATAGTTGCAAATGCCACTGTCAGGAGTATATCCGATATCCTGCATCTCCATCGGCATTTAAAACAGACTGAGATTGTGATCGGCACTCAAGCCATGTTGTAGAAAGTAGGAGGTGAGTTTTTCAGGAACCGGAAGACAACAGGATGGAATCATACGTTGTAGGACGGCAAAGGCAAGTGGGACTTTGAAGAGTGTCCACGAGAAGAAAAGTCTCTGTAAGACGAAAGATTTTAATATGCCCTTAACTACTGTGTCCTTTGTTTTATAGGGGAGCTTGGAGAAGAAAGGAGAAGGGAATCGGTTTCTGGCACAATACTTGAGAACCAATGAGAAGATTAAGCATTTTATCGCTTCAACAGCAGCTTTAATAAATTCCTCAAAGGAACCTGGTGAAAAAAAATCCCGGGAACTGATGAAAACCGTAAGGAGCGACGAATAGAGTGCATAGACAAGCAGAATTTTGCAGTTGCCATTACCATATCCAAATTTCAATTCTTAATCTGCCAATATTCAAATAGGCATAAGCTGTGGCTGCAGATTACTCCCGCTGTATCAATGTGCAAAGCAGAGTAAAGAAACTAAATAAGAGATGCTTAGGAGTATAAATAAAAATGACTTCCCGCAATTCAAAAAGGTTCATTCTCTCAATGCATGCTTAGAAAGATAAAGTAGCAAATTTTCATACACAAAATACCCAACCACCAGAGTGAAAACAGACATGATACTATAAATCAAGTGTCAAATGTTCAAAAGAGAGACCCTACTACAGCAAAAAAGAAGGTACTCAATTCTGCCAAGAATTAACAAATGAAAAAACCACCAAATATCACAACACCACCATAATCAATGAAGTCCTACTATCTGGTTCAAAGGAAACATAAGATAACCAGTATGGTTTCAGACCAACAAAAAGCACCCGGCTCATGAGTTCCATCTGGGCAGTGACAAAAGTTGTCATTTACTATGTCCCTGACATAATACTTGATCCTTCTTAACGTTTGATATCTTTTGATCAGTAGTACTTCTCATTTGCGAAATCCGATACTTCGAAAACTCATCAACTTTATCTTAAACTTCAACTAAAGCCAAAGTGAACCAGTGTTACATCAATCTTGAACAAAATTGCACAAGAGACAAGAGTGATAAGGGGGAAAACCCAAAAATACTGAGCTTCAAGAGGCAGAGAGAGGACTAGGCCAAAGGGAAAAGTCAGAGGAAAGATGGAAATGGAGTTATTTTTAAGTATTAATATAAATTATATAATTTATAAGAAATAATTAGATTGTGTTACGATCCTTTAACACCAAAGTTTCACGAAGGATCCTATGTCCAATTTAAATCTTCCTTTTTTTTATTTTTATTTTTTTTGTAAATAGAGGGTTCTTTTTTAAACCAATAGGCTTTTACTTTTTAGACCGGCGTCGTGACTCTTATCATCCCGTCATTTTAAACAGAGGAGTAATTATTTCGCCATTCTCAGTGAAATAAATAAACCAGTGCGCATAGATCGATAACTTGCCTCTCACAACAGCTTAATTGGCTGAAAAAAAGAGCCCAACAAAGCAGCAATTAGCTCCGGCTACAAAACAAAAGACAGTGTCAGCCGGAAAAGTGTATTAACTGCGGGCGGTCCGAGGAAAAAGAGGAATCCTTCAGTGTAAAACTCCCTCCAGTAGTTGGTCAACGTGGTGAGCTTAGCAACCCACCATGTGTCCTGCAAGTCTTCTCCGGTTGACACGTCTACTGCAGCTCTCCGTAGTTGGTTTCTTAGTATTGTTGAATCCCACAAGTGTTTCACCAGCCAGTATAGCATGTTCCACCTCAGAACCCAGCAACATCCGACGAGCACTTGCTTCCAATTTCACCAATATGGTATTTCCAGTGTTCCCACTTCTGTTCTTGATTTGAATTAATGCTTACAAATTTAATGGGTTGAATTTGCTGATTTTAATTTCAAAAAATTGGAACTTTACAGTGATTGCTTCTACGTACTTGATGATTATGAATAGACAGTACTTTTTTGTGTATTGAAAGATTGGAACTTGAAGAGTAGAATGCTCCGTTTGAAGAAATTCCATCAGTGATATTGTGATACTTACCTTTCTTCCTTCCTTCTCTAAAGGGTTGCTATTTTTGGCCAAACTATACCTAAGATTTTACCGAATGACATTGTTGTCACTACTACTCAAATGTGTGTCAGCAAGTTTTGACTATGCCATGATGTGATTTTTTAATGACAACTAGGTGTATGCATTAGTAACTGCTCTGCTGATGCATCATTATATGCATGCATTTATATTTTATCTGATAGCATTGTCACAAAATTACTTCTCTTTCCAACTCTTTAAGATAATTTCAATCCTACGAATGTATATTAGGTTTACTTTCTTGGGTGTTGATAATACTGTAAACACTTTACTAGGGATAACTCCCATATCTTATGATTTCCATGGGATAGGAAACCCAAGGAAATCGAAATGTGAACCTCTAACATTTGCACAACAGGTGAGTTATAGAAAAATTTGGGGAACTTTGTATCGGAGAGTCCGGGTTCATTCCCGGACCCTCATGTCCAGGTAAAACATGTGGATTAGGGTGAATTGAAAGTGTTGATTGGTTAAAGTTGTTGGCTTGATATATTTGTAAATACCTGACCAGGACAGTGGGCAAGTAGATGATCAACTTCCTGATGAATGCTTGAAAAAGATTAAACATGACCCCAATCTTCGAAGTTTCTTCAAATTGTTGGATGCAGGCTTCTTCAATGATTCAAAGGTACTTTACTAGCTTTTGTAGTTAATAAATTCTCTTTCTGTGATGTTCATCTGGTGGTCTTTAATGGAAGTGGCGTTTCTTTTCAGGAGCTAGAGGTTGAAAAGGCAGCAAAAGAGTTCAATCTTCCAATCATCAGAACAAACAGAAAGTTGGTAGCTTCTGAAAATGGAGGACTTCACAATCCATCTTATCTGGTCTTTGATTCCGCGTGGCACAAAGAAAGTATACCACATTCGACCAACAAGTTCAGTTATCCATATGTTTCAGGTGTCAGGAGACCAAAAAATGATGAAGATATAGCTTTCATGACTGTATGTCAATGCAATAGTTTATGAGTTTTTTTTTTTTTTTTTTTTTTTAAATCAGTTAATGAGTTCAAAATGCTTATAATTCCCTACATCAATGTATCTCAGTGCTCGATTCTGAAACAGAATTATTGCTGCTGCAGATTCTTGAACTGGGGCAACTCATTAAGACACAACAAATTACGTCTGAAGAACTAACTGGGATCTTCTTAAAGAGACTAAAAAGGTATGGGTTATCTTGATAGTAATCCAGAGTCTTGCCGAATTATTGTCTGTTATATAACTAATGGTGCTAGTGTGACAGGTATGGACCTGTCCTTGAGTCTGTCATCACCATTACTGAAGAATTAGCGTACACGCAGGCGAAAGAAGCAGATCAACTTCTTGCTGATGGCAATTATCTAGGTAATTTGCATCTATCACCAATTATTATGAGAGGTTGATGTTTTTCTGGACCTTGAAAATCCAGCTGGATGCATGCAATGCAGTTAACAAAATTCCTCATAAAGCATGACAATTTATCTACATACTCTGGAAGTGGTCCAAAGAATTTTGGGTAGTTTCTTTCATATTCATTATTATGTGCTATTTGCTGGTATTGTAATTTCAAATTATTCTCTAGTAGCTGTGACATTCTCAAACGTGTAGGCCCTCTCCATGGGATCCCATATGGATTGAAGGATATTATTGCTGTTCCTCACTACAAAACAACTTGGGGCTCAACGACATTTAAAGAACAAGTTCTTGACATTGAAGCTTGGGTTTACAAAAGGTACTGTGTAGTACAAATATTGCATGCTAAATCTAGTGTCCGTCCACATTAAGCTGTTAATGTATCATTAGATATTGTATAGGTTGAAGTCTTCTGGGGCGGTTCTGGTTGGAAAACTTGTTACTGGGTCATTGGCATATGATGATATCTGGTTTGGAGGTAGGACAAGGAACCCCTGGAATATTGAGGAATATTCCACTGGGTCGTCTGCTGGACCAGCTTCTTGCACCTCTGCAGGTATCTACTGGGGAGCTTTCCATTTTGTCTATGAGTTCTTGTCATACAGTCATACAGCATCATATTTTCCTTTTATTCTTGAAGAAAAATGCTTATTTCCCATAATAGTGTATAATTTTGTCTGTTGAAGCATCATTACCTTCACATCTATGTGGATAGGTTTGGTTCCATTTGCGATTGGATCAGAAACGGCTGGATCAATCACTTACCCTGCTGCTCGCTGTGGGGTGACTGCATTGCGCCCAACCTTTGGAACTGTTGGTCGAACTGGTGTGATGAGCATATCTGAGAGCTTGGTAGGAGTCATGCTGATTTGTATAGGATTTGCTTGTTCCTTTTCTTCCCAGTTTCACTTCTAATAAAATTTTGTTTCTCCGCCTTTGACAGGATAAACTAGGCCCTTTCTGCAGAAGTGCAGCAGACTGCACAATTGTTCTGGATGCAATTCGAGGGAAAGATCCAGATGATGTTTCATCCCGAGATATATCCCCGATAGATCCATTCTCAGTTGACATATCAAAGCTAACTGTAGGATATCTTGAGGATGCTGAGATGGACGTACGTTGAAAGTGTACATTTCTGCTTTTGCGATGTTTCATTTTACTGTGTTGTAACTCCCCTTTGATTGTCAAAATCAGGTTGTCGATGTTCTTAAATCGAAGGGAGTCAACATGGTTCCTTTTAAGCTAAATTACACAGTTGAATCAGCTCAAGGCATCTTGAATTTCACAATGGATGTGGACATGCTGGCTCACTTTGATGAGTGGCAGCGGTCTAACCTGGATGATCAATATGAGGCTCAGGATCAGTGGCCACTCGAACTCCGGCGAGCCCGTGTTGTACCTGCAGTAGACTATGTGCAGGTACTTGGTCAGAAGGAAATGAAAAAACTATCTTTCATTCTGTGTTTTCCTTTCTGTATTTTTCTCAAGTAAGAGATCCCAAGACTAGATGCCACTTGCCTAAGTGTTTGCCTTGTGTGTGATAAGAGGAGTTAATGCATAGCTAGAAGGATTTCTTAAAATGATCTGGTCTTGATATGCTCATATTGTCAGACTAAAGTATATACCATCAGAAAAGGTTTATGCTGCTAGTTTATATGATTGAAATTGCATTACCTTGTACATTATTCTTTTGAAGTCTATGGAGGGAAAGGGAATTTTGAAACAGATGTTCCTAGCAGAAATTCTGTTTGTTAGTGCAGACTGGCATATAACTATAAAAAGTCTGATGATAGCAAGTAGACAGTATTAGCTTTCACGAAATCATTTTTAGGAGCGTTGCATGAGATACATTTCAGGAGTTAGTGGGTCCGGAATCATTGAACTTTTTATCTGTGGATTCTGCACGGCTAATTTTGTCTAAGATCCTGTTCATGAAATGTATTTTGAGGACCTGTAATCAACTCCATAATCTTCGCAGGCACAGAGAGCGCGAGGAAAACTAATACGTGAAGTCAAAGAAAATTTCAAGGTCGACGCATTTGTGGGGAACGTAACAGACTGGGAAAAGGTCTGCGTGGGTAACCTTGTGGGCATGCCTGTTATTATTGTTCCAACAGGATTCAAGATGATATCGGATCCACCAACAAAAGACACAAGGAGGAGGACTACCATCACTACTGGTATTTATGCTCCACCAGAGCAGGATCATATTGTAAGTCCTCTGAATCATGAGTCCTGAATCTCTGATCATACAAGTGCTATAACGTGACAACAATTTTAACTTAAAATGCTATCAACCATAACAGTGTGAGCTACATTGCTAGGAGCCAGATTACCTTATTAGTATCGGTCTACTTCTCTTGGCTTTCTGCATTCCTGCAAAAACGTGATGCATTGTTTTACATTTGTAGGCATTGGCGTTGGCAATGGCTTATCAATCAGTCACTGATCATCACAAGCAACGCCCGCCAATTGATGATCTTGGACCTGGTGACTCAATCCCAAACCCACCAACTAAAGAAATACCCCCCAGACAATTGCGCTAACGGAGTGCACAATACAAGTGTCATCTTTTGTGGTTGTATAGTACCACTTGGTAAAAAAAAAAGTAGTGATGCGGATGCATCTTTTTTGTTGGCATTGTCTTGAACCATGAAATTTTGCGTATAAAGCCAAGGTGCAGGTTAGCAAAGTGTTCCCTCCATCCCAAAAAAATCAACATTGAGTTTTAAAATTTATACTAGTGATTTTTTTTTTTAACTGTAGAATAGAAGGAATATCTACCTAAGTTTGATCGTTGTGCATAGTAAAAAGGAAGGGGGGGGGGGGTGGGGAGACCGAATTAAGTTTTACTTTTGGTTATTACATCTAAAAGGAGGCATGGATTGTCTCTAGGCCTATATGATAATAACTTCACGGAGATAGAAAATCAATGTCTCTGTAACTCTGCAAGTAAACCTTCAGAAGGGAAACACATCTCAATTTTGTAGTACTTACTACAAGCTGCGAATTTCTCTGACTTGTGATTTTTATCCAAACAGAGTAAATTTTCATCAATTTCTGTTCCAGTTAAAAAGAAAAGGCTGCATCTCTGGCTCTCGCTCTGCGTCACTGTTTGTTTCCTTGATGAAGAAACGTAACAGAATTAACCGTAAGGTAAAAGAAACCCAAGACGTAAGTCACGCGCCAGCTCGCGTGTATCAGACACCGCAAAAGTGCCTAACATTCCACGTGTTTTATTCTCATTGGGTCGCTAATCCGAGCTGGCTCAATATTATTGTCACCGTATGGGGCCCCCCTCCGTAACAATATCCTAAATCAAGAAATTTTTAAAAATAATTATTTTACTGTATAATTTTTCAAAAAAAAAAACACAAAATTAGAATCAAGAATTTATCTAAAATTAGATACGGTTACGAGGACAATGAGGACGAGTACAAAAAGAAATTTCGATAGATTTTATGTGAGATTCAGTAGAGTAGTACTAATATCCTTTTCCCACACACGAACTCAGAGGATGGCAATTTCAGTAAATTAGTTGAAAAAAGAGGCGATTCCTGAATCTACCCTTTTCCATGTATATATCTCTCTCTTTCATCCGGTCTCCATCTCTTTCTCTCTCTATTAAAAGGCATTCATATAAATTTCTCCTTTCATATATAAATATATATATATAAATATATATATATATATATATTACACATTCTCCGATCCGCCGTCTGAACACAGCGTCCCAAATTTCGCAACTCTTGCACCGTGTTCTCTTATCGCAGAAAATCTCTCCCCAATTCCTTCTCAAATTTTGGTTTTTTCCTCAATGACTGCATAGAGAACTTCATTTGTTCGGATCGGTTCAATCGGTTTTCTCCGGCGCTCTTCCTCATCTCCGATCGTGTGATTCCGTTCTGATTACATAGGTGATTTTTTTTTTTTCAGATCTTAATCTAATCACGATTTCTAGCTCATTTGTCAATCATTCGAGGTTGAACATTTGAGCTGTTTTTTTTTTCTCATATACGTGTCTGTGTGTGTGTGTGCTCGTTTGTTGTTTTCTGGATTTGATTTGAATTTAGCTGATCGCCAATGTGTAAATCTCAGATCCGTATTGGTTTATGTGGATAAGTAGGGTACTTGATACGTGCATGTGTGGTGTGTACTCGAATTAGCTTGGATTCGTGGAATGTATGTCTTGATACTGTTGATTGATGTTCTCTATGGCAAATCCAACCAGCAATCAGAGAATTTGAATTTTGAGATATCTGTTTTTTCATTTATCAACCTGTCCTTGTGTTGTTTATCAAAGCTCTGGTTGATATCGCTGTCTGATTTGAGGTCCTTTTGGTACTTTATATTCAGAGTAGCGATAACTTCTTGATCAAATCTCGAGGTTGTTTTGCATGTCTTTTGTATGAAAAGTTTACTTGTTCTGATGAGTTCTTAAAACTTTGATAATAGTGTGGAATCCTCTGGTGTGCCTTTGGTTTTTCCTCCTATTTGCTGAATCAAACTTTATCTTTATGCTCTGATAACATTTCGTTCTAATTGTGTCTTTATCATCCTACTTTGTATTGCCTCTGAAGGTTGATCCCTTCTTACTTAATGGTTGAGTTTATGTGGCTTTTATTGGTTCAAGGCTTGAACTTTCTTTGTTAAACAAATTATATATATGCTCTCTTAAAATGAAATCTATTTTAAAGCTCTAAACACCTCCGCAATCTAATAGGCTTATTACTGCATTTGTGATTTTGGCAGTTTAGCTGTTGAGATGGCATCAGCAGCTGGAACTTGGCTGCGAGGAAGAGTGAAAGCTGTTCCATCCGGTGACAGTTTGGTGATAGTTGCAAACTCCAAGGCTGATATCCCCCCAGAGAAAACTATTACTTTGTCCTCCTTAATGGCACCAAAATTGGTAAATGTTGTTCTTCTCATCTTTTTGCTTGGTCGACTTGTGTCATGTTTTCAGTTTCCATCCTTATGAGCCTTCTCTGCTCTTGTCAAATTCTAGCAGATCTTAAATTTCTATATCTTTTGAAGGTTTAAAAGTTGAATTCTTCCCTATCTCCACCTTTCTTGGAGGAGTTTTATTCTTATCATCAATTTATTCCTTCTTTTTTTCTTTTATTTCTCTTGTACCTTTCTTCCTCACTTTTCTTAAATAAGAAAATCGATAAACTTTTTATTTTTCCAGGCTCGGAGAGGTAGCGTTGATGAGCCATTTGCATGGGCAAGTCGAGAATATCTGAGGAATCTTTGCATTGGAAAGGTTATAATTCATTACCTTTTGTGGTTTTGCATGCATGCTTTTTGTGATTATGTGTTGACCCTATGTATATGTTTCTATTACAGGAAGTGGCTTTTACAGTGGATTACACAGTGCCTTCCATAGGCCGAGAATTTGGCTCTGTTGTCCTGGGGGACAAACATGTCGGATCCTTGGTTGTCTCTGAAGGCTGGGCCAAGGTTGAGTTCATAATTTCATTCATTCTAAATATGTGGTTGGAAATTTTGTCTGTCTTATCAGCTTTTAATTTCTAATAATTGTAATTGGGACACAGGTTAGGGAGCAAGGGCAACAGAAAGCGGAAGTTAGTCCGTTCTTGGCAGAGTTACAACGCCTCGAAGAACAAGCAAAGCAACAAGGTCTTGGGCGTTGGAGCAAGGTGAGACTGAAGCTGTTATGTTCATGGCATTAAGAAAGTAAAGGATCTAACATTTGATATAATTCCTAACTTTAGTGCCCGATGAAAAACTTTTTTTCATTTCTTTTACATTGTTTAGGACTGAATTTCTTGTAACTTTGGTCATTGAGACTTTGTGTTCCTTATGATTCTAGTAATTAGGTCAAGTTCCTGTATGAATGAATATTTCCAAGAATGGCTTTGCAGAACAAATTGCTAAAACAATTCTATTCATGTTTGGGTTCAGGCACCTGGTGCTGCTGAGGCAGCTATCCGGAATTTGCCCCCCTCAGCTATTGGTGATCCTAGTAACTTAGATGCCATGGGGCTTCTGGCTGCAAATAAAGGGAGACCAATGGAAGCTATAGTCGAGCAGACTCGTGACGGTAGCACGCTCCGTGTCTATTTGCTTCCAGATTTCCAGTTTGTGCAGGTTTTTGTAGCTGGAATCCAGGTATGGGCTTCATTCAAATGCTTCCTCCAACAGGGTTCAATTTTTCTTTTTGACTTTTAATTAATGACCTTGTTTTGGACAGGCTCCATCAATGGGTCGAAGGGCTGCACAAGAAGTAGCCGTAGAGTCTGAAGTACCCTCTGATGAACAAAATGGAGACTCGTCCACTGAGCCTCGAGCACCTCTAACGTCAGCTCAAAGGCTTGCAGCCTCGTCAGCATCTATGACTGAAGTTGCTCCTGATGCATTTGGAAGGGAAGCGAAACATTTTACTGAGATGCGTGTTCTGAACAGAAATGTGAGCATCATTCTGGCGGTTGTCTTTGTTCTTGTATTTTGAAGTAACTGTATTGATTCTTTTAATTATTTGCAGGTGAAAATTGTGTTGGAGGGTGTGGACAAATTTAGTAATTTGATTGGTTCTGTATATTATTCAGATGGTGATTCAGCAAGGGACCTGGCATTGGAGCTTGTTGAAAATGTGAGGCATAAATAAAAAACCCTGAAAATTTTGTTTTGAGTATTTGGTTGTGAACTGACTCATGCTGTTTACTCTTTCCATCACATATTCATATTCCTTATATCATTAGTATCTTGCTCGCAGCTGGGAAGTTTACTTTGTTGAGGCACCTGATATATTTGATTCCTCGTCCATTTTTAGTTACTGTAATTCCTAATGTTTTGTAAATGATACAGGGTTTAGCCAAATATGTGGAGTGGAGTGCAAGCATGTTGGAGGATGATGCCAAGAGGAAGTTGAAAAGTGCAGAACTTCAGGCAAAAAAGACCCGTTTGAGACTCTGGACAAATTATGTGCCTCCGGCAACCAATTCAAAGGCAATTCATGACCAGAACTTCTGTGGGAAAGTGAGTGTTTGTTTTTGTTTGGAATTTCCTTTTGGCGCTTGTGTTAATTCCAAGTTTTATTAATTGTCACGTTTGTTTTGTTAGGTCGTGGAGGTTGTCAGTGGTGATTGTATTGTTGTAGCTGATGATTCAGTGCCATATGGTGATCCATCAGCGGAACGACGAGTTAATCTCTCAAGTATCAGATGCCCCAAAATTGGGAATCCTCGTAGGGATGAGAAACCTGCTCCTTATGCCCGGGAAGCCAAGGAATTCCTGAGGACACGCCTACTGGGGCGCCAGGTACTGGAAGAACATTTTGGCATTAATATATATATACATATATATATATCTATATATATATATATATATTGACACACATATATATGAAGATGAGATGTAGTGGAATGATATGCATATTATCTTATACCTTCTTCAGGTGAGTGTTTCCATGGAGTATTCCAGGAAGGTTAGTATGGCTGATGGAGCTGTGGTTCCAGCTGCTGGAGCCGATTCTAGGGTTATGGATTTTGGATCAGTTTTCCTTGCTTCTCCAGCCAAGGATGGAGATGATGCTCCGGCTGCAACACCTGCGGCAGGCAGTCCGCCAACAGGAGTGAATATTGCTGAGCTTTTAGTTGCCAGGGGCTTTGCATCTGTCATCAGACATCGAGATTTTGAGGAGAGGTCGAATTATTATGATTCCCTCCTCTCTGCTGAATCTCGTGCAATTGCTGGGAAGAAGGGCATCCATTCTGCAAAGGATCCTCCTGTTATGCACATAACAGATCTGCTAACCGTGAGTATCCAATCACATGGTTTTTATAACAAACACAGCTCTGTTTTTTACACTGGGTTCTGTTGATTTCAGGCTTCAGCAAAGAAAGCTAGAGATTTCTTGCCATTTTTGCAACGTAATAGGAGGATGCCTGCTGTTGTGGAGTATGTCCTCAGTGGTCATCGATTTAAGCTGTTCATTCCTAAGGAAACATGCAGCATTGCTTTTTCATTCTCTGGAGTTAGGTGTCCTGGTCGTGACGAGCCTTATTCTGAAGAGGCAATTGCATTTATGAGACGGAAGATAATGCAGAGGGATGTTGAGGTATCTTGGGTTTCTTTCCTTCATAAGGAGTGTTATTTAGTGGTCTATGTGGTTTTGTTGCTTACTATTTCCTTTTAACTTTTTGTTGCCAGATTGAAGTGGAAACTGTTGATAGAACTGGTACTTTCCTGGGATCTCTATGGGAGTCCAGAAGTAATATGGCTGTTGCACTTTTGGAAGCTGGCTTGGCAAGGCTTCAAACTTCCTTTGGTACTGATCGGATTCCAGATGCTCATCTACTAGTGCAGGCTGAGCAGTCTGCGAAAAAGCAGAAATTGAAGGTGAGTTGGGCTTGGGAGAAAAAGTCTGTAATTAGTATTTATTCTCTGATCCTGTTACTGATAAACATGCAACACAGATATGGGAGAATTATGTAGAAGGTGAAGAGGTTCCGACCAGCAATCAAGCTTCTTCTGAAAGGAGGCAGAAGGAAGAATTGAAGGTACTAAAGAATTGTAGTGCAATATTCTGAGTGCATATTTTCCAAGAGGTTAGTTGCTGATCTGCTTTCTTGCCTTAGGTGATCGTCACAGAAGTCCTGGGAGGTGGCAAATTTTATGTTCAGTCAGTTGCTGATCAGAAAGTGGCCTCCATCCAGAGGCAGCTTGCAGCTTTGAATTTTCAAGAAGCTCCTGTGATTGGTGCCTTTAATCCCAAGAAGGGGGATCTTGTTCTTGCCCAGTTCAGTGCAGATAATTCCTGGAATCGAGCATTGGTGAGGGAATGATTATGATTTTGGACTTGAGTTCATTCAGTTAAATATATTTTGAAGCTGTGATTTTTTTCAATTTCAGTTTCATCTTTAAAAGTAGATCCGCGACTGATCCTTTTCTTATTCGATGTGCTAGATTGTTAATGCCCCTCGTGGTGCTGTTGAATCTTCTAATGACAAATTTGAAGTATTCTATGTTGACTATGGAAACCAAGAAGTTGTTCCATACAGCCAACTCCGACCCATCGATCCTTCTGTTTCCTCCGCACCTGGCCTCGCGCAGCTATGCTCTCTTGCATATATGAAGGTCCCAAGTCTTGAAGAGGATTATGGGCAAGAAGCAGCTGTACGCTTGAGTGAGTACTTGCTCAGTTCTCCTCAAGAATTCAGGGCTGTGATTGAGGAGCGTGACGTGTCTGGAGGGAAAGTCAAAGGACAAGGAACTGGAACTATCCTAATGGTGACCTTGTTTCCTGCGGATGGTGAAACCAGCATAAATGCATCCATGTTACAGGTTTGACTAGCTAAATTTCTATCAATGGCTGATTGCCTAATTGCTGTTTCCCTTCTTTGCCGTAAATATGAATGGTGATAATGAATCCTAATTCTTTTTCATAATCTTTCAGGATGGACTTGCTCGGTTGGAGAAGAGGAGGAGATGGGAACCGAAAGATAAGCAGCAAGCCTTGGATGAGCTCGAAAAATTCCAGAGTGAGGCAAAGACCAAACGGTTCGGAATGTGGGAGTATGGAGATATTGAGTCTGACGATGAGGACTCGGGTCCTCAGGCGAGGAAAGCTGCAGGAAAGCGGTGAGAAAAAGTTTTGTAGCCTGAGTCAAATATAGAGAGAAGACTATAAATGCCAGCTGGATGACTTGCAGGCTTGAGTCCCCCCTGTAATGGGGAATAGAAAAAGAGACGATTATCAAGTAGTATTAAATTTTCAATTTTGTAACTTTGGTTTTTCTTTTTAGGCTGAACAAGAGGAGGGACAAATTTTGTACTAGTTTTTTCTATTTTTTTCCCCTGCAAAATTTTTTCTTTTTCCTTTTAAGTTATACAACTCGAAATAAGGCAAACTTTACGAGGTCTGTCTTTGTCTTAGCTTGTAACAGGAGATTTTTGAGTGAAATTTAGACAAATATTCCCAATTTTACTCTCGACTCTATATCTGTAGTTTCATGAATATCATGATATCTTGTGAAGAATAAAGCGAATTTTTTAAGGGACTTCTCTCAAATGTTTTTGAAGTAGCTGAGTGCGTTTGCCATCATAAACTCCGGTCAATAGGAACGGGGTAGAAATAGGCAAATAGCTCTCTTACCTTAACTTCTCCATCCATCTCCTTTGACCGATAGGCTAAAAGTCGGGGAAAAGAAATTATATAGTCCATAAGAGATGACACTATGATTGAAGCATGTCGACCTGTGCCTCATGCGGAGTCGGACTAGGAACCTTACAAATTACAAACTGAGACACTGATTTACATCGGAAATGATGAGCAGTACTTACAAACTGAGACACTGATTTACATCGGAAATGATGAGCAGTACTTCCCTTGGTGGCTGAAGTAGATCAAGTTTTTTTGCCAATACAAGTGCGTAGAAGAGCAGATGAAACCTTGAGCCCCGCTAATGCTGCTTAATTGAAATGGAAACTGGGAGCCATGCTTTTCACATTGTGCAGGTTTTATCTTTGGATAACAGATTACAGCCGTGGTGGGTGTTCAGTGTTCATCTTACCAAGTCCTCAAAAACGCCACAGCAAACCAAACTCAGAACATGTTATGCCCTTCCTAGATAAACTTGCATTCCATATAGGCGAATGGGCTACTTGGAGGGAAATACATACAAGAATGCATATAAGATTAGAATTTTGATTTATCAAACGTATCATTTGATTAAAAATATAGCACATACTCAATGTCGCAAAACTGATGAAAACAACTTAAATAGTCACAGATACATCGTCGTACACTTGTCTAAACACCTTGCAGGTGGAAAATTCTGGCGTCTGGGCAAGTGAAATTTTAGCAATGAAAAAACTACTACACCCAAAAATCTACCAAAAAAAATGTTATATTATGCCGATTACAGCACTTGGGGTCCTAGTTATCACGTTTGGGCCTCCTTCTGGGGGCTGCTGCTGCATCCTCATTTTGCTGCTCTTCCTTCTCCTCGGTGTTCCCCTGGTTACCGGATGATTCTGCACCATCATTCTTTTTGGTCTCCTCAGCAGGTTTTCTTGCCTGCACCCAAATTTGAAATATAACTCATACAATCAAACATAAAATACCAGAGCCCGAAACATAACCAGAATAAAAATAAAAAATGCAACTTACAGGCTGCTTCTTCCCACCAAATAGAAGCTTCAAGAGAAGAGAGAAAAACACAACAACGATTGAGACAATGACACCAACTGTAATGTTTGGTTGTTGCTCAGCCTTCTCAATAAGGTCCTGCATGAACAATAATATACACTTCAGTAACAGTAACAAACTGGAACTATGCTAACCAACATAATGGTTATTAAACTCACCAGTACTTTGAGCTTGTGCTCTCCCAAGAAGGGGAGGTCAGCAATTTTGTAGAGGACGTCGAATATGGCCTTCTGAAAAATACCCCAAACCAACACTGTAAGAATTCGGCAACAGGAAAAAAAAACAACTCAGAAAAAAGAAGGAACAGTGAAATTTGGAGCCGCATCGATTACCTGGATGCCTTTGAGAACACCTGTTTCAGAATCTGGTTCCTCAGCCTTTTGCTTCTCTTTCTCCACATCAAACTTAGGCTTCCATGTGCTGGTTCGGATTGATTCTGCAACTTTTTCATCAGTTGCTATCAAGACGTTGTCAAACAAGATACCATCCTGCATTGTCCAGATCTCAATGCCAAGAGCCGCAATTGGCTCAAAATCTGGCTTATCAAGCTCAAAGTAGTCTGGGTTTGGAATCTCCTGAGGCTTCCAGATACCTTTGTAATTAGGGTTGTCAATCAAGGGTGCATGCCATTTCCCCTTGTAAGCGGGATTCCTCTTCATTGGTCTCTTCCACTCTCCACAACCAGGAGCCTCAGCGCACTTGGGGTTGTCAATCTTCGGGGCCTCCCACTCACCATCCTCCTCATCATCCCAATCTTCAGGTTTTGTTGCTTCAGGGTCATCCACTTCTTCAGGCTCATCATCCAACCACCCTTCAGGCTTCTCAGCCTCTTCATCTTCGATTTCCATTGGAGCATCCTCATCCCAGTCATCTGGCTTTGTTGCCTCAGGATCAGGAATCTTGGACCTTTCGTCCCAATCTTCAGGTTTTTTATCATCTGGGTCAGGGATGGTCTTGGAGGGAATGAGTGGAGGTTCAAAATCTTCAGCTGATAGGAAGTTAGCCTTCTTTTTCTCCTCTCCATCAACCAAAATGGACAATTCATTATCAGGCTTCAGAACAGCCGTATATACATGGGTCAACTTGTCGGAAGGTACAGAGGGGGGGAATTTGAGATGGTGCTCGACAAACTCCCCAGTCTTAGGGTTCCTATGCTTCAAGATGAAGTGAACCTTATTTGTGGCTCCACATTTATCAGGTCCAAACATTATTGAGTATGGTGATTCATTATCAAATTCCTTGGCAATCCATCCAGCTTCCTGGGGACGCAGGTATTTGATATAAGCCCCGCCACATTCGAGTCCTTCCTGGAGACGTACTTCATACTGAAGGACGACAGTTCCATCCTTCAGATTAACAGGCTGATCAAGCTCCTTCACAATGGCATACTTCCTGGCCTTCTCACTCACAAGAAGTCCATAATCATCATGACCTTCGCTCTTTGAATGTTTCCATACACCTAACCACCAAGAATAAATTTATTTAACACAATATAATCAACTCTCCGAAAGACCAAAAAACAGGATGTAGAGTAGAAAACAAAGACAGCTAACATGAGGATACTTAAAAAGAGGAAACTGGTGTGCGTGCGTACTTTCATTTTGAGAAGCACAACTGTTCAAATTCCCCAAAGTATATTTTCACATTTTCGTGCAATATTAAAATCCCCCCACCCCACCCAAAAAAAAAAAAGAAAAAAAAAATTCCCTACCAAACCAACATAATTGCACACAATAAATGAGTTTGCCAGGCTGATCATTCCGTCCAGTTTACTCTAGGCTCTGGCGACCAGAGCAAAATATCAGACTATGCTCCAGAATATGTATCCACAAACTAAGACTGCATCAAGTGCAAAGATGAATGCCTATACCAACAACACTCTGCAATCACTCTCCACTGCCTTAGATCTTTCATAATTACACCTTCCAGTATCTCCCAATGGCATAGCATGCAAAACAAAACCTATTTTAACTTCAAAATTCCAATGCAGAACGATGAGCGAACCCAAAAAACACAAATATGTAAACCTAACATGCTCGTAGGCTATCTCAATCAATAAACCTCACCAATGTAAACACACATTTACTTTAAAGAAGCTAGCTAAACATAAACAAAAATCGCCAGTGAAATATGCAACACTGATTTGTGATGAACTTTTATTTTTTTTTACCTTGATATTCCTCCTTCTCAGACACAATCCATCTTCCCTCAAATGACTCATCAAAAGAATCATAAAATACCTGCAAATATCAAACAATAACAAGAAAAAAAAAAGGTCACACATATTATTATAACAAACACTAATCAGATCTCTCAAATCCAAAAGCAGAAACAGCTCAGAAAACAACTAACTGGATCAGAGGCAGCGCAGAGCTGGAAGAGGAAGCATCCGACGAGTGCCGCTGCCAATAAGAATCGTGAACGATTCTTTTCTCCCATTATGGACCAACGAAATCACCAGAAATCCGCCTACTCAAATCTACAAAAACCTAATTTGTCTTCGAGATTTGCAATAATAGTGGGAGTGGATCTGTGAATTTACAGGGAGAAAGAAACTAAAACGGGTAAAAGAAGTCTCCAGAAGGCGAGAAAGAGTAAAAGTGAACGATCCGGGGTGTAATTGGGATACCATATAAATATATTATACATGTAGATCGGGTAAATGATGCAGTCGAGTTGTTTCAGCCAATGATATTTTGAGCCACGTGAGGTGGACGAATCAAGAGATGACACGTCATCGTATGTGACGAGCTTTTGCGAACTACGGTTGTTGGAATAATAAACCAAACGGACGGCTAGGATTGGTTTGTTCCGATCATCTGGTATGCATGCTTCTGTGTATGACTGTATGGCCATTGGCCAGTTGGCCCACATCCCAGTCCTTTCTTTTTTCATATTTTTTAATGATTATAGAAATCATATTTTCTCCACCCAAGTCTGTTCAATATTTTTATTCATTTGTTCAAAATGTCTTGTGCTTTCAAGTTGCAATACAGCAATTAAGGATATCTATAATAAATAAACAAAAAGAAAAAATTTACTACAATCTTTATAAAATGGAGATTGGTTTATTTTTTTAGTGTGTTTTTTAGGTGTTTTTTGTATTAGGAATGTAAAAAAAATGTATTAAAAATGTAAAAATATATGGTGAGATGAGACAGTTATTATTATATTACTGTGAAAATAACCATGGGAAAAATGAAACAAACAGAGCCATTATTGTGTTAAAAGGTAAATTTTTATGTTAACCTTACATTTTATGCATTTAGAATGAATGATTACCTAACCTCATATTCTCTTCAGTCTTGAATTATTGTTCAGTTAGGACTTTTATTTTTAACAAAAATTGAACTAAAAATAAAAATTCAAAACTAAATAATAATTTTGGTATAAAGAGAATACTTTTTAGTTTAATGATGTTTGGTGTCAATAAGGTTCTTCCAGAAGGTAGCAACAAGGGAATCCGTTCAAAGCTCTAAATAATAATCCTATATGCGGTGAAGGAAAATCAAAAGAAAAAAAAAAAAAACCAATAGAGATATGTGATGTCAACCGTATACAGCAACCTAAAAACTTATGATACTTCTAAGACACATCAACTTCGAACTCTAGTCTAAGAACTCATGATACTTCTTAACAATGTAGACTTTACAGTTTTTGTTTTCTTTTTCTTTTTTTTAGAAAGGTAGTAAATACTACTACAAAATATCCCAATAATAAGAGATCATCACAAAGTCATCCTCCAATAAAAAGGTAGTAAATTCTCCAATTACGTCCAAAAATTTGCAACTAATGATGTCTAGTTTTCACACATCAATCCGGTAGAAACGTATCACAAAATATATTTCTTCCCTCTTAATATTAAAGTCCAATATAAATTTAATTATTAAATTAGACAATAATTTTTAGACATATAGAATACTTGATTTTCGGACATTACGAATACCCCAAACCTCTATGGATGCCGATAAAACTTCTCCTCAACCATCTATCATGAAATCTGCATATAACTTGGCGCTTGCAAACTAAAGTCACATAAGCATACTTTTGGGTATTTTTTAATTAGTGCCCCTTTCTTTTCTTTTTTAGTCATCATTTAAATTATTAGATGTCAAGGATAAATTACTTCTAGAATATTATGCTCGAGCCAAGATTTAATTGTATATATAATATAGAAATAATATTTCAGAATTTTACTAATGATTGACAATTGGTTTCTTGAAAGATAGGGATTATTATATCGTGGTTTTTGTATATACATATGCAAGAATGGTAGACCATAATATATAACATGTGCAAGAATTTGATAATATCTTTCGTTTTTCTGTAATATGCAATAATTAATGGTACACTAATGCAATGAAGAAAGGAACATATTACATGCATTCTCACAAATAAGCCTTCGGAATTCGGAGACTGCAAACAGTACAAAACACCAACTTCATTAAACATGCAAAAAAAAGTTGTATCAGATCTACAGACTACAGTCTAGACCACATGAATGTTAGCTAAATCAAACATAAAGGAATGACCTTTATAAATGTATGTAGTGTTCGGTTCCTTGAATTATTTGCAAGTTTGAGAAAGCATGGGTATAAACAAAGTCAGAAAAATCAGCTTCTGTTGAACTATCACCTCAACGTCTCCATTGATAACCCTCCAATCCTGACGACGGCATGTCGATGGGATTAGTGGGCTAGATGCATAGAGACCGTTGAGGGAGAGAGTTCAGAAAAAGCTCAATTTTTCTATTCATGGACTTGCCATATAAGTTCATTCACACCTAGCTTCACTCAATCAAAGGAGGACTAGCTAGAGCTTTAGTGCACGATATATATAGGAAAACTATAATAAGGAAGAGAAAATGCAATATGAAAAGGGTTGATGGACGTAGCTAGCGATCTCCATTTAAGTAGGGCGTAATTATTAGGTCATACCTTAAATTAATTATTAAGACTTCACATTGACGACGTGATAAAAGATGCGGTTTGATTATCTGGGAAGTTATCTATGATTTTCCTCGCTCTCTCCAACAAACATTCCCTTGCATTTTGATCGATGCTCTCATAAAAAAAAAAGAAAAGGGAAAAACAAAAATAACTTCTCGATTGCGTCCTCGCTTGACGATGCACAACAATATGCATCCTTGATCTTCCAGTCAAACAATGCAGCTGGCTTCAATGAGAAAGAAATATACGAATAAATTGAATTTTCACCTTCTTTTTTGTTTTGTTTGTTTGTTTTTTTTTTTTTCTAATATTCCAAATTTCCAATTAGAGACTGATGCAAGACTAAGTTCTTCAAAACGATTGTACCAACAAACAAAAAAATAAAAAAATATTAATTGATCGAAACACAACCAAGTTGACGCCAATGGTGATGTATATGGTCTTATCTATGTCGTGGGCATTTGCTAAATCAAGTGTCAATTACGTAGTACAAGAACAATGGATTTCTCCTAGGAATAAAGACTGTATGCTCCAGTTGGCTGTTGTTCTATGTGACGATCATTAGGCTAGCCAGCACAAAACTCAATTTTGTACTGCTATTGCACTCTCTTGACTTTTACGTAATTCCATATTTAGTTAGGGTTTTAGGGGATTCCTTTTTGGAGTGTTGGTTTAATTTTCGAAAGCCCGAATCGAGACAAAATTGGCTAATCGACGACGACATGAAGAACAAATTAGGTTGGGATTATGCTTGTCGACATTGCACTATTAATCGATGCCTGTTTTTTTAAATAAAATAAAATAAAATTCGATGCCTTGTGATTTTTTTTTTTAATTTTTTTTTTTATCCAAATCCAGCAACTTGGACTAAAAAAGTTTCATTCGGCACGCAGTGGACAAGATTAATCAATTTGCATTAATGTTTTCGGACCAATATGGCTGTCTGTTTGGACAAAAAGGATTTTTGAAAAATTGAATGCGGTGAACTTTAAAAAAAAGAGAGAAAAAGATTAATCAATTTGCATTAATCAATTTGTTTGGACTAAATTTCTTCTCCTCTGAATGCATGTTAAATAGCCTATTAACTTGAAAAAAAGTGAAACACACTTGTCTAAGTTGGAAACCCAAACTTGATCACCATATATATCCATATATCCATGTGATATTCTCCTCATTACCAATTAGTTTTGAGGTGTAACCACATGTGGTCTTATATGGGCCTTCAAGATGGTATCCGAACAGAATTTAATCTGCGGACTTTGACCGACCCGACAGTTTATCCGGAACAAAATCAAAAACCCAAAATGGGTCTTCAAACAAATCAAAAATTACGAAATGGGCCTTTAAACAAACCAAAAACCCAAATAGGCCTTTAAATAAAAAAAATAAAGAAAAAAAACTAAAAAACCCGAAATGAGCCTTTAAAACAAAAAGAAATTCAATGGTTCAAAGGGCCTTGTCCAACCCCTTTGGGCTTGAGAGAGGGTGTTAAATATCCATTTGAATTTGAAAACAAGTAAAAGACACTTGTCCCAATCAAAGTAGTTGTGATGGAGTGTAAGGGACTCTTCCACCTTTTACTATAGGTCGAGGGTTCGAATCTCGTCATGAGCATGGAGCAACCTTAAATACTTTGACCAGCTATCCCACCCATCGAGATACCTACAATTCAGCGAAGGGGATTAGTCATTGTTACTGACGGTGGACACCCTACAAATATGCAAAAAAAAAAGGACACTTGTCCCACATTAGAATTGGAAATCCAACTTGATCACTATATATACTTCATGTGCTATTCCCTTCATTATTAATTGGTTTTGAAGTGGAAGTATATGTGGACTTATATGAGCCTTCAAGAATGCATAAACCCTATATTACTTTATTTTGTGGATGTTTTTAGCAGAACTAAACACAAAGCAAATGAGGTAAACTCACTTGTACAATTGAAATTGTAATTGTTGAAAAGGGCTGTTTCTACCAGGCGGGTGATTCACTCACCAAAAAGTTGGTTTTAGTTCTCTTCACAAAATTGGTAAACGGGGTAAATCATTCAGTCCATTTATTTTCATAGTAAAATACATTAGGCGAAACCTAAGTGAATGAGAAACCGTAATAACGTTTTATTCCTGCAGGTAAATAAATAATTCAATACATAATGATTATTATGATGTTGAAACAATAGACGTACACCAAAAATTCATTGTTAGTGAAATTTGACTTTAAGTAAGGCATGATATTGCCATTGCATATCCGACCTTCTTCACCATGATTGTTACTCCCTCCGTCCTAAAATTATTGTCCAATTTGGATTTTCATTATTAGTTTAAATTGTACTAAAAGTGAAATTTGACAATAATTTTGGAACGGAAAAAGTATTTAGGTTGATATTGTCATTACGCCACCATGAACATCGAAATTTTTACATTGACCTTCTTCATCATAATGACATTGGTATCTAACTCCAAAATCCAAACTATCAAAGGTCAACTCCACGCAGGGATCATACATAAATCATATTTTATCAGAAACACATTGTTTGACTAATTCGGGACTTAACTTTTACTATTATAATCAGCAATTAGCCATTATTAAAGCATGGAAGGTCTTCTAATTTTTGTCCTTGTATTTTGAAAGGAAAAAAAAAAGAAGGAAGACGAAGAAGAAGAAGTTATTTCTCAGATCAATGATCAATCATCCTCATTGCAAAAGAGAGAATCTTTACACACATCATGAACTTCAGCTAATGTACAATTTACGAACATTAATATTAGCAATCCAAGTAGATAGTGACAATTCCAACTTTTTTAAGATAAGATGTCCAAATCCAAGCATACCATGGACATAACGATGTGAAAAAAAGTAGTAATAAAATCATCATAAGAAAAGCGATTCTCCATCTTCCATTGCCGGCCACTCAAATAATTAAATTTAATAATCCTGCATCAATGCTCAGGAACAGGAAGATCTTCATCTGCAGGAGTTGCGGCAACCCAATCTCCATTCTCATCACGAACCAACCCTTTATTCTTCTCAACCCACCAACACACAGGAACCAAGCATTCATCCTTCAGAAATCCACAAGATTTATTCACCAAAGCCAAGCTCCTCTTAACCTTCAATTCAAACTCCCCATGAGGCCCATTCCAACAAGCCACAATATGTAACATTGCCTGTAAATTATGCCAATCACTTGGATTCTTTGAGCCCTTCAAGTGTGGAGATTTTCTGGTATCAATCACCAGGTCAATTCCTGTATTGTGATAGCCCAGTAAATGACCAGGATAATGTGGGATCAAGTCGATTTTGTTCTTGACATGGAGGATTTTCAGATTTGGGAATTCCCTCAACTTTTCTTTGAATCCCCTGTTTCCAACTTGTGGGCTACCAAACACGATGCAAGAAACAGGGATATCGGTGAGGCCATTTTCAACAAGATCAAAACCAGCTAAAATTGATAAACTTGCTCCAAGACTGTGCCCTGTAAATATTATGCTCAATTCCTCGCCTTCATAAAGATTCCTCAACTCCTCAATTTTGGCTAAAAGTTGGTCTCTTGCGCTGAGATTCGTGAAAGGCGAATCGGGATCATTGGAAACATAAATCTTGAGCCAACCCTGCATAATTTTAGGCAAATCATCGTCGTCTTCTTCGTCGGAATCGCTTCTGTTAATAACACTTCCATCCTCATCCTTCTTCCAAACTTTCTGATGCAAGAGCGGCTCTGCTGATTTAAGCCCTGCTCCCATCACATTGACCCATTCATAATTCCGGGTCGTTCCCCGAAACGCGACATAAATCTCACGCCGGCCGATTTCTTCACTATATTCATCTGTGGTAACAGCAATATATCCAATCCAATTGGTTTCCCTGTCCCAAGATTCCCGGGACAATGAATGGAGAAACATGGCTTTGTGGGCACCAACTCTGGCCGTGGCATAGAGGAATGAATGGACCTGGTAATTCGACCCGGATTCCATCATCACCTTATCGAAAAACGATCTCTTTCCGTACCTGCTGGAGCCGCAGAACTTGGAATTCTGGTCATTGTTGAATGCATCGTAGGTGGCTTGACAAAAGTCGCCGCACCGGAGAATTAAGCGCCGGAGATTAATTTCTAGAGGTTCAAGAAGGCCTTCCCAATCATTGCTTCCCATGAGTTCAGACCATGTTGGTTCTTCTTCTCCCATGGTCAAAAAGAACAGAGAGAGAACAAACGATTGAGAAAAATGGAAATGATTTTCTTCAGGGATTGTTTGATGAATGGCTCGTTGAAATTCGATCAAAAGCTATAAAGTCCACATTGATGAAAGGGTATAAGGGGACGTATATTCCTTGTCAAGAACCCTACCAAGGAACCATTGGATTTTTTTTTTTTTTTTGAAGGTAGGAACCATTGTAATTAGTTTATTAGTTGTTTGTTAATAATTGCTGATGATGAATGATGGCGCGCAATTGTGATGAAACAACCAGAATACCCCTACGAATTTGTCAATGTTTTGAGAGTCAACTATGATCTTGTTTTCCATAACTCACCAATTTATCGGGTATTTTTCATATCTCAAAAATACACAACGCGTTCTCTAATTGTTAATATGATTAGTTTATTACTATGTAAATGTTAGCTAATGAATTGATACATGTTAACGTTACTCGCAAATAAGTAAATGTACCTGTTGCACGATGGATTTCATTAAATTTGTTTGGTGATTTAATCCCATCAACTCTTCCTGTCTCCTTAAGTTAATGTTACCAAAATTTTGTCATCAAATGATGATTACCTTGAAAAACAAACAAAAATTATGATTAAAAACACTGCAGTCTAAATAAATATAAGTAATAATGATCATTATTTATTACTATGTCCTATATGCAATAATAACATTGGCCCAGAAATGAAAGGACCAAAGAGTTTAGGGCCCATTTCATATAAAAGTAAGTACATTCTTGGGCCTTAACAAGACAACCAAATTTGTTTATTTTCTTTTTTTATTTGTCTTTTTACGTTGTCTGACTCTGAACTCTGTTCAATATCACTGTCACGGTTTCACTTGCTTGGCTCCGTCGGAAAATTCGAAGCCAATTTGATTTCTTACAGGAATTTTTCTGCTCCTTATATTTGGAAACTAGTAAAGCTGGCGGAATTCCCGGTGTTCTCATCTTTTATTTCGCACTTGGTCTGATAAATCCCCCAACAAAAAACAAAAAAAAAAAAAAAGAAGCAAAAGTTGAGGAAAGCTGCTCTGGACTGAAGGCTTGGAGCTTGAAGATTAAAATGGTTCAAAGAGTTTTTACATGGCGTTATGGAGGCCAAAGGGTCTATCTCTATGGCTCTTTCAATGGGTACTTTTTATTTTTTATTTTTGTTTCTGCTGTAGAATTAGTAAATTACTGTTTCAAGCAAAGTTGTGATCTTCTTAGGTGGACTGAGCGGATACAGATGATTAAGGTGGAGGGTTCTGGTGCAATTTTTCAGAGGATTTTGGAACTTCCACCAGGTTGTTATATGGTAAGCTTCACTCTGAACTCTAATTTGTCTGAGCAACATTTACATGATCATCTAATTTGATCGATAGGTTGTACTTCCTGTTTGATCAAACTAGTAACTTAATTTACCTATAAAATGATTAAGAAATTATTCTTTCCGTAGGTTGCAATTTTTTGGATGTAAAAGATGTAGTGTACTGTTACACTGTTGACTGATCACTTACACTTCGTTGCATGTGAATAAGTATACATTTCATACCTTCCCTGGTTTGTACCGGAGTCTGTGCTATACAAGAAGTATCGTAGCTTATCATTTGACAATTGGAGGTTCAGAGCATGTGTTAAATTATTAAAATTCTTAATTTGCTTTCAGAAGTGTGAATGCGCTTTCTGACTCGAATTGTTTGGTAATATTATGTTGTTGTATTTTCACTTAAACTTAAAAATTTTGGTGCCAAAGTTAATGAGTTTTATTCTCAAACGCAGTATAGATTCTTAGTTGATGATGTTTGGCAAGTGGACAAGGAACAGCAGTGTTTCCAAGATACATATGGCATGATCAACAACATGATATTTGTGGACATATCAGAACCGGTAGTTTTAACCTTTTTGATCAAGCTTTCTTGTGAAATTCACCCACTTTGGACCTGAAATGCGCACACACACATTGACACAACTGATTCATGGCATGGTTAACCAACCAATGTCAATTATCCTTATTGAATAACATGTTTGGTTATTATACCAATCAGGGCACGTCTTCAGTTAGCATGGCTCAGAAACCTAATTTGCAACTATCACCCACTGATATTGACGTTTTGCGTCATCATCTGTCAGTGTTTTTATCATCCTCCACGGCTTATGATTTGATGCCAAATTCGGTCAAGGTTTGAAAGCTACGATCATTTTCCCATATTATCAATTATCTTTCTGAGCAGTCAGTCAGATCGTGATTAATTACTCTGATGAATCTTTAATTGTCAGGTCATTGCTTTGGATGTTGATGTGTCTGTAAGACAGGCATTCCATTTTATGTATGAAGAGGTGCAATGTGGTTACCATTTCTTTTCCCCTATGCAAACAATGCAATTAAGAAACAGTTTTGTCTTGTTTTTCTTTTGTTTAACTCTTTTACCTTCTTCACCGGACATGGTCTTACAATTCTTTATTCCATCAAACGTAGGGAATTGCAGTAGTACCTCTCTGGGATGAGGAAAGCACAAGAATTACGGGGATACTTACTTCCTCTGATTTTATATCAATTCTGCTACATGTAAGTATATAGAGACTAATGTTATGCCTTTCTGCATGAATTTAAATTGAATGGATGTTTGATTTGATAGTGGATTTTCTTCAAAAGTCAACAGGCCTTCATGGGATTTGTCTCTTGTAGAAAGTCTTACAGATAAATCACCAATCATAAACATGGATACATCTATTTATCCACAATGCCACTGTATGATTGAATTCCAAAATTATCAGATATTTGATTTTACATAGATTCTCATCACAGTAAATGTGATTCCAGCTCCAGATAAGTGTCTGTCATGTTAGAATTAGATTAAAATTTACAGATATGTATCTGGTTTGGTCCTTCTTCAGTTGTATGCTAATGCTTGTTTCCATGATGCTTAAGGGAATACCAATCGGATTGATGATGTGATTTGAAGAGAGAATCAGGGACGGGGAGGGTAGAGGACTGGATTCCGTCCCGTATAGTTCTTGGTTGACTTTAAGGCTTTTCATGTAGGCTATACCAAATGAACAATGCCTATCATATCGATTAAAATTTTAGATGCAATGCGATATGATGAGGAACAATCATATGCCTGCTCTATTGGAATTTGTACTTTATGCTGCTGTTTCTTAATATTCTTATTTGATCATATTTTATGGCACACTGTGCATAAAATGTCCAGCTTTCTGCAGCTTCACAGCAACCCAGCTTCCCTGACTGATGAGGAGATTGAAAAACACACTATTTCTGCTTGGAAAGATTTGAAGTTCCGACTTCATGCAGACATGATTGGGTCTCCTCATCGTAATAATAGAAGGGCACTAATCCAAGTAAATGCTCTCAGCATAATATGTAGTTGTTTTATCTTTCCTTGTCTGTTTTTTCTTTAGATAGTGATCATTCCTCGTCTGCTAGATCTGGTTCAGAAATCTAGTAAAATCACTGGGAAAATTATCGATAGAACTGTAATGAAGAGTCCACTTTTGACCACGTTGCTATCATTCTGCTAACAATCCGCAGTTTTTTGGTATTAATCGTTGCTTTGTGCTTTTGGTACAAATTGACAGGCTGGTCCAGATGAAACATTGAAAGAAATTGCTGTGAAGATCCTGCATAATAAGATTTCTGTTGTTCCGGTTTTAGATATAACTCAAGATGGATCTTGTCCTCAGTTGTTATCCATCATGTGCCTTTCTAGAATATTGAAACGTAAGGTTTTATCAACTTAAGTTCTGCTACTCTCGTGATTTTGGTATTTGAATGCATGAAGGTCTTTTTGATCAATTATTTCCCATTCTCTTAATGTAGATCTATGCAGGCAACTCAGAAGGCATCTTGATTATCTCCCTCTACTGCAGCAACCAGTTGGTTATCTCCTCCTAGGTACATGGGCTAAAGGATTTGGGAACAGCAGTTCCCGTGTACTGCTAACCTTACGTGCCACTGAACCTCTTAGTTCTGCTCTTAATCTATTAATACAAGGTACAGCATTCTTTATTTCCTTCTTGGGATCAACTAAATAGTCCCGTGTTAAAAAGGAAGTGGTGCATTATCTATATTTAAATTATGAGTTAAATATGCCTTTTCTTCTATAATTGTCCTCATTCCGCTGTAGCTTCAGCACCAACTGTCCAACTCTATGATTATACAGAATACATCTTATTCAGGTTACGCGTTTAACAAATTTGGTTATTCTCACACTATTATTTCTTCCATTGTTTTGGTGACAGCTAATGTGAGTTCAATTCCCATAGTTGATAAGCTCGGAGTTCTGGTAGATGTGTACTGCAGGAGGTAATAAAGTGAAACTGCTCTGGATTCATACATGCCATTTTTCTCACTTTCTTGTCAAAGTTAATAACATAGTTGTTCTACATGGGTAGTGATATTATGGCTTTGGCAAACAGTAGTGTGTACGCTCACATTCAGCTTGATGACGTTAAGATATCTCAAGTAAGTTTTGTATCCTTTTGAAATCAAATCCCATATATGACATTGGTACATCACTAGTATCCGTGGTAACATTTGGAATTGACCTGTTCTAGGTATTGGAGATTGTCAATGTAACTGGTCAAAATCGATTTCAAACCTGTACGCGTTTTGATTCCTTGTTCAGGGTGATGAAGCTTTTCTCAAATCCAGGTTCTTCAGCTAATCCCAAGTTCATTTTGCGAACCTACCTAATAAAGTTATCTTTACGCAATATGTCACTTGTCCTTTCTTATGCTTATGATGCAGGGGTTCGGCGTCTTATTGTCATTGATGCCACCAGTCGTCAAGTAGAAGGCATTATCACCTTGACAGACATTTTTGGATACATTATAGGTTAAACTGAAGAACATATTGTAGTCTTAAAACCAGCTGTATTATCACCAGTCTGCCTCCTTTCTCTTGATGGAATATTTTGTCTCTTGCTCGACCCTTTTGTGGTGGGTGATTTAGTTTGTATTTGTGCCTTTTTTTTTTTACCAATTAAACTACATCTGGACTGGGATGAGCTAACAAAGAGCTTCAAGTTTATGTTGCTCAAGTACATTCAAAATTGTATATATATCCTGAATCAGAGGATGCAGATCATCCCCCGCAACAAATTCATGCGTTTCCCCATTCAATTGAATCAAACTACACCCTGCATTTCTACGAATCTGACCACCTTCTCGTAAAGACCTCATCTTCACCAAATCATCCCATCTCTCTGCATTTGCATAAAGATTAGCCAAGACTGAATATACCCCTCCATCTTCCGGCTTTACTGCCACCAATTGCGAAGCGGCTTTCTCTGCAGCCTCAATGTCACCATGCATCCGACAACCTCCAAGCAAACCACCCCATACATAAACATCTCCCTGCATGGGCATTGTCTCTATCATCTCCACCGCTTCTTTAATCAAGCCTGCACGTCCAAGCAAATCCGCCATGCAACCATAATGCTTCAATTCTCTGGGAACACCATAAACAGCTTCCATCTCCGCAAAAAGTTTTCTAGCCTCATTCACAAGACCAGCATGGCTGCATCCAACCAACACTCCTAGAAATGTCACCCTGTCGGGTTTAACGCCACTATCTACCATTCGCGCAAAGTAATCAAGTAAGAAGTTGCCATGACCGTGCATGGCCAATCCAACTAGCATCGCATTCCAGGTACACAAGTTCTTTGTACTGGATTCAAATATACCCCTTGCAGTGTCAATGTACCCACATTTACCATAGAAGTCCACCAAACCAGTGATCAAGTATTCATTAATTCTATTTCTATTTTGCAAGATATATTCATGTATTGTTTTCCCCTTTTCCAACTCTCCTAGCTGTGCACAAGCTGAAAGTACTGCAACCAATGCTGTATTATCAGGCTTAACATCCAAAAAAAGCATTTGATCAAAGAGCTGAATAGCCTCCCTGCACTGATTCATTTTCGCATACCCTGCCAAAACAGTAGCCCAAGAAATCCCATCCTTTTCAGGCATATGATCAAATAATTCCCTGGCCTTAACAGTCTCACCAGCCTTAACAAACCCATCAATCATGGCATTATAGGAAACCAAATCCCTGTAAGGATTTTCATCAAACAGATTATGAGCACCACATGCATCACCAGATACACAATAAGCATGAATAAGGTTGTTAAAAGCAAAAACATCATCCAAGAACCCAACTTTCAGGGCTTGGCAATGAAGGGATTTCGCAAGTGAAAGGGACCTTAAGTGGGCACATGCTTTCAGAGCAAAAGGGAAGGTGTGGGTATCAGGGGAGACTGAAAATTGGGCCATTTTAGCGAAGAAGAAGAAGGCAGTTTTAGGGGAAGAAAGAAGAGTATGAGCCCTAATGATGGTATTGTAACAAAAGGTTGAAGGGTTAGGTATGAGGGTAAAGAGGCTGGAGACATAATGAATGGGGTGGGTGGCGGCGGCGCCGGCGGGCGGCGGAGAAACGGCGAGGAGGGAAGTGTAAATGTGGAGGATTTGAGTGAGAATTGGAGTTTGATTGAGAAAAAAGAGGCATCTTGTGATGGCCTGAGCATGAACTTGGTGAACGTGTTTGATGGTTTTGCAGTTTTGCTTCAGAGTTTTGATCAGATGTGAGGATTGACTGCAGGTTATTTGCATTTGTTCTTGCCGGGTTTGGCAGATATCAGAATCATGTGGGTTTTGCTGAATAAAAACGTTATTCCCAAAATGTAAGAATAGGTGCAAAAACCAAACAAACGGGACGTGGACGGCAGGATTCGAACCTGCGCGGGCAGAGCCCACATGATTTCTAGTCATGCCCGATAACCACTCCGGCACGTCCACTTGATGATAGCGATGTCTCAAAAGACATAAAAATCACCGATGTTGGAATAAACTAAAAGGGAAAATACGCCACAAAACATGTTTATGGATTTTATGATTTGGCATCGTATAATTTGGTTCTCTCTTTGTTTTAATGAAAAAGAAACTCTGTAAGTTTTCTCTGTGTAATAAATCCACTTAAATCTTGTGTTACTTTAATGATCTCGGGAATTCTATGTTTCTTCCAAACATTTTTCTTTTTAATCTTTTTTTTTTTTTTTTGTTTTTGTCTTTGAAATGGCTTTCTAATCATTTAGGCAACTTAGCACTCTTATTATTGGAAATTTTAAAGAATTAATTTGGGCATTCATCCATTGTTTTTAACTCTTCAAAAGTTAATTGGCTAGATTTTAATTCATCTTTATATACTATAGGCAACTTGTAACATGCTTATTGCTTAGTTTAGGATTGGGTTGGGATTATCAATGATGTCTTGAGATAAATCAAAATGATTAAAAAATGAACAAACAACTAGAGTAAAAAGTTGAGTGTTTCTAGGTTGTTCAAGATGTCTCCACTCTACTTTGATTACTTGTCTCCATTATCTTTGTCACAAGTGTTCCCTATTTTGGGGACTGTTAAATACCAATGCTGTGTCCCAGCTCTCTCCAGAACAATCCTCTTCATTTCAATCAACCAATACTTACTATAAAAACATAGTATTATATAACTTCTACAAAATTGAGTTGATTAAAAGAAACCACGTACCTACAACTCACTTTTCCACTAGTTAAAAAAAATTAACAATTTGCTCTCTATTTGGATCGTGTGGCAATGGCTCTAAGGTCATCTGTAAGTACCAAAATTTTTATTTTTTCAGCTTATTTTTGGGTCTTCTTGCATATCATTATTATTGTTATCAATTCTGTAAGAATTATTACTCTTTTTTCGGGTTTGAAATGCAGCAGAATCTTCTCAAATCTATAGCTGCTGGTTTAGGAGGAGGAGTCTCACATTTTACCACATCTACAACTCCTAAAAGTAAGGCATTTTCCCCAACCATTGGTGAATTAACCAAGCACAATGACTTCAAAGCAAGGTACACTTAATCTAGCATTTTCGACATTATTCTTTCCTTTTTTTTTTTAACCTTTTTCCGTATCAATTAAAATAATAATATATAGTCGTATTGATTGAACTATATGTAAGATTGAGATTGTTTTTTTATTTGATTTAACTTGATGTATTTTATATATATTTAAACAAAAATGGCAGGGTAATTAAGAAAGGAGATATTGTGCCAATGAGTGTGGCGGTGGGGATGATCATATTATCAACGAGTTTCGGAATATACACAGCCACGAAAGAGCTCCGGACAGCACCAAACGTGTTCGTGAAGAAATCAAGGAGAGAAACAATTCCAGAAGTGGTGGAACCTGAACATGTTTTGGAGGAATCTGAAAAATTCATCAAGAAATCTTTCTTCAGAAGAATTGCTCATCTCCGAGATAAATCTTACCAAGAAGCTGCCGCTGATAATCAATTGCCCCGAATCGACATCTTCTCCATGTAAGTGCTAATCAATTTTAACTTTTGAATAATACCACATGAATTACTTGTTCGTAAACTGAAATTAATCCTTAACAATATGTCGCGACGACAAAATTAGCATATTACTTTCACGTGTGACACATCAGTTATTGAACTATTTTTCTCCACTCTTCACATTAATTGCAGGCCTCCGAAGGCTGAGACGCTGAAAGATATCGGAGTCGATCCAATTTCCAATTAAATATATTTATTATTAATCACGAAATACTGTAATAGTCGTCAAAATGGTTATATGTACAGTTTGGTTTCTCTTTTGTTTTATTACTGATGTAACTCAATGTACGAATTGCCAATGTATATCTTCCAACTTGGAAACTAATTACGACCAATTCCGATCCCCAAACTATCTTAACCATTAAATCGCTTTCAAAGTTTATCACTAACTTGACTTTGTTTATTGAGTTACATGAGTTTTATCACATAAACCATTCCAAAATGAAAGGCATAGCTTCGGAAACTATATATAGGTTCAACGGAATTTAGTCTCTCTTTTCTTTTCTTTTTTTTTTTTAATTGTTTTTTGGGACAAATTCTACACTCCTACAAAATTCCAGTGCTAGAGAGAAGTGTCCGTTTGAGGGGTTTAAATCTGGAAGTTAGTTTAATTAAGTCCTCGCTGTTACAATCTAAGCTATTGGGAGTTCCTTTTTGCGATGGATTAATAACAATTCCACATGATTATTAAATTTTCATTATAACACAACAAGAAAAAAGAATATACAGATATAGTGTCTTCATAAGTATTATGTTGAGATGAAACTTTTAAAGTCATTGACCACTTGTGTAGTATATACTTATTTCACCGTAGGTCTAATGATTATTTGTGACAATTGTAAATGTCATTAAAATTAACTCTTTGTTTCATTATTTAGTAACTTTTTTACTGTTCAATGTCATAATTAATTTTTTACTATAGAATAATTTTTTTTACTATATAGTGTCAATATATCTAATCAACTTTCTACAACTTAACCATCTATCATTGTAAATCATAGATGATCATTTTATAAAGGCATTTCAAAGTACGAAGACACGCTGCAACCTATTTTTCAATATAAAAAGAAATTTTCAAATATAAATTTACTATGACGATATTATACAAAATTTGAAGAGTTTAAAAGAATAATCATAAATAATTCATGTTCAAGAAATATATTATAAATAATTAAATCATTTTTCCTGACAATCCAAAGGACATATATAAACGAATGAACAAAGTCTTCATCCTCATATAACATCTTCAGATCCACAAATATTAGCGTGCCCAAACAGTCTAGTCATAATTTCAGTGTCAGATTTAATACTTCAGACATCTTCCTGAGTGACCAATCTATCTTGGGATACTGATTAGCAAGTCAGTAATTTTCCAGTCATATGCCAAATTGACCCTACCCTAAGTGTCCTCTAGATCATACCTATCCCCAGAGTTCCCCTTAATTTTTTTTAATTTAATTATTGTTTTTATCCAATTTGTACCATTATAATTAAGTTACTTTTTCACTAGTGGGTTAGTTTTTTTTTTTTTTTTTCCTTTTACAAATGTCTTTTTAAGTGTGTCATTAAAAATTTAGTGTGCTTAAAAAATTAAAATGTCTTATTTGGCCATGTATTATGACATTTTGCATATAATACCTTGATACATCAATTCTATGTAGAATAATGCCTAATAATGCCTTGATTTCTATGTCCTTTCAGGTATGTTTTCTTGTAGTATAAGTCTATGAATTGCTGTTGGAGTAAAATGATTTTTAACTGTATTTATCATAAAAAAATATATTTGCCTCAGACAAAGTAAAGAGATTTCAACAATGTAAAGAATACATTATATTGAGATTATCACCCGAGAACCATTGATTTGGAGAACAAAAACAGAGGAAAAGGGATAAAAATTTTAAAATATGTAGAATTAGAAAATAGATATTGTCAAAACCTTTTTTTTTTTTTGATATATTACGCACCCTTTGTCTCCGACTAAAAAATAGAGATTGTCGAAGACTTTAAAAGAAAAGAATTAAATCATTTCCGTATTTTTGTTTTTAAACACTTTGGGGCTGACCTGAAGGAAAACTGAAAGGCATCAATTTAGAATTGAGGAACAGCTTGGAGGTTTTTAATGAAGGGTTACAATTAGCCTTTTCATTTAGGAAAGGAAATTAAGACTAACTTGGAAAAATTAACTGTAGACATGATTAATTAGGGATCACTTTAGAATGAATGCAATAATCAGTTTCTATTAGAGATCCTAGAATCCATTAAAATCAATTCTATAATTCTCTCTCTCGTTCTCTCGCGCATATATATAACCAAAGTGAAGAATAGCAACAAGCCAACAACGTCGAAGAGAGAAGATAGGGAAAAAAAAAAAGAAACAAAGATACAAATATACAATGAAGCTGTGCAGAACCGAATGGATTTTTTGTCTTGTACTTGTGTTTTTGATTCTTATCATTGGCGGGGTCTCCATCCTTTTTGCGATCCGCAAATGAAAATAGTTACGGGTATCATTTTCTCCTTTTACTTGTTCTTCTGTATGGTGTTTTTGTTTTTTTTTTTTTTTAAATACATTTTTCTTGAATCCTTAACTTCTAGGGTCCTAATTATGAGACAAAGATTAATACTAGAATTAGTTTAAATTTGTATATCATAATTAGGACTCGGGAGAAGAAATATGAAGGATTTGTCTTCCCCTTTACTTGATATTATATTCATATTCCCCATGTTTTCATCATAGTTGTTTGTAATACAATTAATAACAACAATAAGAAATATGAATTTAATAAACTAAATCATATAATATTTTAATCTTTGTTGCAGTCCTCTTCAACATTTGTATCTTATGATTATTATATTGTTGTATTTTTTTCTCATGCGTATATAATAATTCATTTTGCACTATATCCAATATTTTAATTAATTTTGTTGGTGATCTTATTTTCTTTAGTTATATTATACTTATACTTATTGCATGATTACATTTTTTTTTTTCGATGCTATCTGATAACTTAAGAAATTTTTTTATTAATGACAATATTTTTTTGTTGCAAAACTAATAACTTCATTTGTATTTAGAGCATTTAAAATTCAATAAATAATTTATTATATAAATATAAATAAATAAATTCCACACATCGTGCGAGTTAACATCATCTAATTGGTGATTAACTTATTATTGTTTGTTTTGTGGCTCAGAAGGTAAATTCTTTCAACTCGAGGCTGTATGGCGCGCGTTGAAGAAGGGACAAATCAAGAGAGAATATATACAATCTTATTAAACAGTTCCGCCAATACTTATTTGATGACTAAGTTTCAGTTTTGAGCATTAATAAGACATTGATTCTGTTATGTAGCTAGTCATCGTGGATCAATCTTTGCCAATTATTAATTAATTTGATGTTTTAAAAATAGTTTGAGTTTTTGGTTTTTGTTTTTCGTTCGGTGGTTTACAATGCGCATCGAGACGTTCTCAAAAGCCCTGAATTAATCAACGCCTTCCTCTCTAGCTTCATTGGTGTGATATTTCGTATCCATAAGAATCCCAAAATATGATTTAATAATAAGAGGAATCTTTTATTTAGATAACAATGGAAAAGAACTTTTCTTTGGACAAATAATTCTTCATTCTTCTTTTTTACTTTTGGTTCAACGTGTTATCGAATATACTAAAATAATAAAATGAGACACATCGAAGATTACACTTACATAAATAAATAACACTACTGAAGCATTTGTCTCCAAACAAGTTTGGTTCAACAGGCTGTCGAAAATACTAGAATAATACTAAAATAGCAGTCAAAATCATTGCAAAATAACATTCTGTTAAAGATGAAAATAGATATGAAATGAAACTTTCTCCTTTTTTCTGTTTTTTTTTTTGTTCAAACGGGCTGCTAAAAGTATTAAAATTGCAGCCAAAATCATTGTAGGTATTTAACCTACCAAAAACTCACAATATTTTAAGCGACACAATGCAAAGTATATGTTATTAAAAATGAAAATAAAAATGTAATGAAACCCGCTACAAGAATTTTCATAATTAGATAGAACTATAAAAAATTTTCTCTTTAGAAAAGTAAGTAGTGCTTGATTTTTTTTTTGTTCAATAGGCTATCAAATGTTCTAAATAATGGCTAAAATCATTACAGATTTTTAATCAAATACTTGAAGCCTAAGTATGATGATACAGAGTGACATTCTATTAAAGATAAATGAGACCAGCCAGTTCATTTTACTCCATTCTGTTTGTTCAGCGAGTTTATCAAAAATACTAAGATACTGGTAAAATTATTATAGATTTTTAAGCTATTAAAGAATTAGAATATTTTTAAGTGGAACGATACAGAGTGACATACTGTAAGCATAAAAATGAAGATTGAATTAGACCCATAATTTTTTTTTGTTTTGTTAAGGAACTATTAAAAATACTAAAATAACAGACAAAGCCATTGCAAGTTTTTAATGTAGCAAAGACGTAGAATTTTTTAAGTAATATGATGAAAACTGACATGCTGTTAAGGATTTGAAGAAAAAGGCGGAAAACGACCAGCTGGAAGACGACCCTTTCATAATTAAAAAAAAAATAGCGAAGAAATTCTCTCTAGACAACTAATTCTTTGTTCTTTTTTTTTTTTGTTGAACGAATTGTTAGAAATATTGAAATAACGGACAAAATCATTGCAGGTTTTAACCTATCACAAACTCTGAACCTTTTAATGAGGTCGGTGCATAGTGACATGTTGTTAAAGATGAAAATAAAGAAGGAATGAAACTCCCCGTTTTTTTTTCTTTTCTTTTTTTTTGAATTGATATATTGCCAAGTGTATTTGGATGTGATAATCGATTTTTTTTTATCTAATGATAACCCAATTAAAACATAGTCAATTTCAATCTCTTTTGATATGTCACTAAAAATGATTATTTTAGTTTAATATCTAAGCACACCTCTAATTAAATTTTATTCTGTTTAAGCTACTATTATATTTGGTGCTAATATCAGTCGCAAATGTTTCACTCCGCGTATGAATATTAGTCCGACTGACGAAAGAATGCCGGTTGAATCAAGACGGAGGAAATTCTGGGTTGTAGCATGTTTTGCTATGATGATCAATAAGAGTCAAGGACAGTCGTTATCTCATGTTGGTTTATTTCGCCGTAGTCCAGTTTTCATCCATAGACAACTTTACGTTGCTTTTTCCGCAGTAAAGTCTAAAAAATGTTTGAAG